TACCACCAATAGGGGGGACAAGAGACTCCAAGGATATGTCTACACAGCAAAGAAAAACCCGCGGCTGGCCTGTGCAAGTCGACTCAGGCTCATGAAGCTTGGGCTGTGGGGCTGTTTCATTGCTGTCTAGGCCTCTGGGCTCGGGCTGGAGCCCAGGCTCTAAGACCCTGTAGGATGGGAATGTCCGAGAGCTCAGGCTCCAGCCCAAACCAGAAATCTATACAGCAATGAAACACCCCCACAGCCTGAGCCCGAGCCAGCTGGCACGGGCCAGCTGTGATTTTTCCTTTTTTCTTTTTTTTTTTTGCTATGTAGACATATCTTTAGTCACACACTTTGGCTGGAAATGCCAAGGTCATGCTTTGATTACTTTTTTTCCAATAGGAGATTGGGAAAATATTAAGTTATACTTGAGGGCACCACACTTATAATTTACTCCCTTACATTCAGATTCAGTGGAATATTCAAAATGAGAATAAAAAACTCAATGTAGTTTTCATTTTCACTTTTTCTAAGTTCATTGGCTGTTTATTTTTGTATCCAAAGTATACTTGGTGTTTAGCACAGTTCTGAAAAATAAAGAAACACAGGTTCCTAGGAAATGTCTATGTTACAAGTTACAACAGACAACAGTCACAGAGTAGTTCATGTAACGGATGCAATTATAATACTAAAGGATAGATTTATGGTCTTCTGTACTTAGGGGGGATTTCCCCCAGGGAAAGGGAAAGTAGGGCTTTCAACTTCATCCTAATTTGAAGTTTTAGTGAGGGGGAAAGTGTGAACCTCTGCCAGGGGCTTTCCAGAAGCCCTATCAGTGGGGTCCTACCAAATTCACTGTCCATTTTCATCGATTTCACGGGCATAGGATTTTAAAAATAGTAAATTTCATTATTTCAGCTATTTCAGTGTTGTAATTTGTAGGGGTTCTGACCCAAAAGGGAGTTGTGTGTGTGGGTGTGGGGGAGGTTGCAAGGTTATTGTAGGTGGGGGTTGCAGTACTGCTACCCTTACTTCTGCGCTGCTGATGGCGGCGGCGCTGCTTTCAGAGCTGGGCAACTGGGAAATGGTGGCTGGTGGCTGGGAGCCCAGCTCTGAAGGCTGAGCCGCCACCAGCAGCAATGCAGAAGTAAGGATGGCATGGTATGGGGTTGCCACCCTTCTGCACTGCCTCTGGAGCTGGGTCCTCAGTCAGCAGCCACCACTCTCCGGCCATCCAGCTCTGAAGGCAGCGCAGAAGTAAGGATAGTATGGTATTGCCACCCTTGCGTCTGCATTGCTGCTGCTGGTGGGGCGCTGCCTTTAGAGCTGGGTGTCCGACCAACAGCTGCCGCTCTCTGGCCACCCAGGTCTGAAGGCAGTGCAGAAGTAAGGGTGGCAATAGTGCAACCTCCCCAAAATAACCTTGTGACCCCCCTGGAACTCCCGTTTGGGTCAGGACCCCCAATTTGAGAAACTCAGGTCATCCCTGTGAAATCTGTATAATATAGGGTAAAAGCACACAAAAGACCAGATTTCACGGTCCTTGATGCGTTTTTCATGGCCATGAATTTGGTAGGACCTACCTATCGGGGCAGTGGGAATGCACTGAATCAGTTCATCCGTCTACCACTCACTTCAGTGAAAGTTAGATTGGGCCCTATGTTTATTTTAAGGTTCCTGATTTCATCATATAGATTAGATAAAGCAATTTACCTGGTTTTGTAAACTAGATACAAGATCTACCAACAAAGCTTTATCTCTTTGTAGTTCAATATTATCCTGTTCCTCTTTGTCCAGCATACCCTTCATTTCAGCTATTCGACTACTTATTGTTGCTACATTTAAGTCAAGAGATGTGCTTCTTTGTTCCAAAATATGAATCTGTGAGAAGAACAAGCCAGGGTCAAGATCATAAAAGACAAAAATGTATATGTATGCTAACTATGTACACACACAAGCAAACACAAACTGGAATATTTTTCAATTTCAAATACAAGTGACTGCTTACAGAAATGCTTCCTGTTATGTAAGCTTTTGGAACACTTGGGATTACACCACTCCCATAGTTTATCTAAAAAAAATCAATTTCCAATTTAAGTAGGGTTACCATATTTCCACAAGCAAAAAAGAGGACACGGGGGCGGGGGAGGAGCCCCACTCTAGCCCCGCCCCTGCCCTGCCCCACCCCCATCCACTCCCTCCCACTTCCCACCCCCTGACTGCCCCCCTCAGAACCCCGAACCCCCCCCACTCCTTGTCCCCTGACTGCCCCCTCCTGGGACCCCTGCCACTAACTGCCCACTAGGACCCCACCCCCTATCTAAGCCACCCTGCTTCTTGTCCCCTGACTGCCCCTTCCTGAGAACCCCCTAGGACTCTACCTGTCCCCTGACTGCCCCGACCCTTATCCATATCCCCACCCCATATTCACACCCCCACCCCCAGACAGACCCCCGGGACTCCCATGCCCTATCCAACTGCTCCCCGCCCCCTGACAGGACCCCCAGAACTCCCGACCCATCCAACCCCCTCTGCTCCCTGCCTGCCTCGACCCCTCTCCACACCCCTGCCCCCCTGACAGACCCCCCAGAACCCCAGACCATCTAACCCCCCCTGCTCCCTGTCCCTGACTGTCCCAACCCCTCTCCACACCCCTGCCCCCCTCTGGCCAGGGCCAGAGCCGCTGGGGCCGCCGGGCGCTGCTCGGCCCGGGCCGGAGGGAGCTGCTCGGCCAGGGCCGCGCCTCCCCAGAGCTCTCCTCCTCGCGTCCCCACCGCCCCAGCCCCAGCCCCAGCTTACCTGCTGCTGCCTCCCGCCTGCCCCTGCTTTTTTTCAGACTTCCCGCGAAGATCTGATTCGCGGGAAGCAGGGGAGGGGGAGGAGCAGGTGGGCGGAGGGTTCAGGGGAGGGGAGGAGGGGGAAAACAGCTGCGGGGCTGGACGGCGTGGTAAGGCTGCAGGGGCTGCAGGGGATGGGGGGAGCCGGGAAGTGAGAATCCAGAACTACTTTCCCATTCCACCTTGGTTTTATACATGACAATTACTTTGCAGTAGTGGGTTTATTTGCCAACTAATTACCAAACTCAGGGCCACTTTAGCCAGTTATCAGAGCTCTATTTTTGTGCTCAGACAGACTTGCTGCATGGTATCCAACTGGGACACTTAGGGTCTGCCTACACAGCTGCTGGGAGCAAATCTTGCAGTCTGAGTCTACAGGCTTGTGCTAGTGGGGCCACACTAGCATGCTAAAAATAGCAATGCAGACAGACGTTCCAGCTCATGCTGGAGCGCAGGCTCTGAAGCCTAGGGAGGGAGGTGGGCTTCAGAGCCTGAGCTCGAGCTGGAATGTCAAAGCAATAGCTATGCAGCTATTTTTAGCATGCTCGCTCAAGCCCCTCTAGCATGAGACTGTCAACCCAGGCTGCAAGACTTGCTCCCAGCAGCTGTGTAGACATACCCTTAGGATCCCCAGAGAGCTGCCATACCTCCTTTTTATTTTGTGTTTAAACAGTACTAGCACAACGGGGACTTGGTCCATGACTAGGTACTATGATAATAATAATAATATATCAGAAGGACTAAAGACTTGTTAAGTGATATTCAAAGCTTCCTTAGAAGTGGTATTTGCTGTTACCCTTATTATAGCAGGGAGCAGTTCTCATAATGCCATTAGCTGCACCAATAATAAATCAACACTGATTTTCTTCAAGAGCTATAATTAAGGCTGCATCTGTCACAGAAGTCATGGATCCCGTGACCTCCATGACTTCTGCAGCAGCCGGTGCTGGTCCAGGGGCTTCCCGAGTCGGGCAGCTCCTGGGCCAGCAGCAGCAATTTGGGTGTGTGGGAGGGGGCTCAGGGCTGGGGGAGGGGGTTAGGGTACAGGGCGGGGCTTACTTGGGGGGGGTCTCCCACCAGTATGTCCTTGCAGTTCCTAGGTGGAAGGGTCAGGGGGCTTCATGCGCTGCCCACTCCTGCAGGCGCCACCCCTGCAGCTCCCATTGGCGGTTCCCTGCCAATGGGAGCTGCAGAGTCGGTGATTGTGGCAGGAGCAGTGCGTAGAGCCCCCCGGACGCCCCTCCACCAGGAACTGCAGGGACATGCCGGTTCGAGCCGAGTAGGGAGCCTGACAGCCCCGCCAACCCTCCCTCCCTAGCACCAGTGGGGGTCCCAGGCTGTGCCCCCCAGCCCGCCTCCCCAGAGCACCCACAGCCCCCCGGCCCCAGTTTAGTTAGGAGTATATAGTAAAAGTCATGGACAGGTCACGGGCTGTGATTTTTTGTTTACTGAGCATGACCCATCCATGACTTTTACTAAAAATACCCATGACTAAAATGTAGCCTTAGCTATAAGCAATGAAAATTCAGAGCTAGAAAGAGGATTCAATCCAGGGACTTGGTTATTTGGTGTTAATTACTTATTATGTGATCACATTAGAATACCACGGTCTGAGGGGAAAAAAAAAAGGGTGCTATTACTTCAAGGCAAACCCCAAACCCCCCCCCCCCCAACTGGCTGAACAAAAAGCCAGTGACAGCGTCACTGGAGATGTCTGCATATTCTGTCTTTCTGAAAAGTGGGAAAGTGTTGTGATGGTAGCTGCATTTAGCAGGAGTCACAGGAAAACTGGGATAAAACACAGTGACTCCAGAATGGCAAAGTCAGCCATGAAGAAATGACTCCAACTTCAGATCATGAGAGAGAGTCTGGAGTCATGGCTTCTGGAGGCCCGTGACCTCTGAATAATAAATAAAATGGCTGCAAACAGAAAGAACCAGTACACTTTTGATTCATGGTGCTGGGTCAGCAGTACCATAAATGGAAAAAATAAATCTTACCACTAGGCCTTCCTTCAATTAGTAAGGCAGAGCACTATGGATCTGTTCCATTTCCCATTGAAATAAATGAAGAGACTCCTGTTGACTTCAATGGGAGCTGGATCATGTCCTGTAAGCACAAAGTGGAGTATACCTCTTCTTAACAAATGAATCTAATAGAAAAGAATATGATTCCTTATCTTTAGGTGAACAATGAAGATGCATTTAGAAAGTCGGTGTAGTCACAGACAACCTTTTCCATAAGTTCTTGCAAGTTTTTCTTTTCCTGCTGCAAGAGCTCTTGGTGCATCTCGATCTCATGTTTCAGATGCTCTTCTTGGTCTTTCACTTTGAGAAGTTGAGTAAAGCTGGAAGACTGAGATGCATAACTCTCTTCCCTGAGGGCTCTCTCCTGAAATACATCATTAAAGCACAACTGGATCAAAATATATTAAAACGAAGTAAGATTGTTGTGATGCTTCCCAGGAGCCCCCAGGGTTATGAAGGAATTCACTACCACCTGTTCTTAGCATGAGGAAGCCTTGCCTGTGCCTGCCATGCATCAGCTCCCTGACTCCACTGGCCACAGGTAATGCAAGCACTCCCTTCTTAGCCTATGCAGGCTCTGCTATAACCTCTGCAGGTTAGTGACAGGCACTCTCCAAAACCGGAGCCCTCTGAGCATCTCCCTGGACTGTCCAGCCCCTAGTCCAATAGACACGCACAGAATTCAGAGATTTGCTGTTCCCAAAAGGAACAGAACCACCAGCTACACTAGTTACATCTCCTCTTAACACACAGCACTTAGATATGTTTTTAGTGAAAACAAATATGAGTATTTAACAAAAAATAGATTTGAGAAGGTCACAAGTAAAAGTATTGGAAACAACTGGTTACTTGTAAAAAAAATCATACCTCACATTCTACAGACTAGGATTAATTAACAAGATATTTTTCTGTCTAATGAAGTTTAGCTCACACAAAGTCATCTCAGCGTTTTCCAGCCAGGTTGGCTATAACCCTCCTTTCATAAGACAGAAGACACTGACAGTTCATTCCTCGGTGAAGAATCCAGGGTGTACCTCAGTAAGCCCCAGTTATTCCCCAAAAGTCTTTACTCATAATCAGGATACCCCTTTGTTGATTCTTTTTTTCCACACAGATTTTCTCTCATGATTTCACAGTCTCTTCATTAGCATCAGGCTCAATACAAGTAGGCTTTCATTGTGAAGCGGACAATACACAGAAAGAAAAATTTCTATTACTCCTTGCCTGACAGAACCTGTCCAAGGCATGTCACCTCCTGGTGGCCTGGCTTACCTTAAGAACATAATTTTCAATATAGATACATAACTTTTTAAATATTACACTTACATACATTTTAGAAAAAAAGATTTTGAAGACTAACTAGCAAAAATCTTAAAAACCAACAGCAATTTTTTTTAAATACATCAGAAGCAGGAAGCCTGCCAAACAATCAGTGGAGCCACTGGACGATGAAGGTGCTAAAGGACCACTCAAGGAAGACAAGGATGTTGAGGGGAGAAACTAAATGAATTCTTTGCATTCCTTTACACACCTGAACCATTTTTTTAGGTAACAAATCTGAGGAACTGTCTGAAGATTTAGGTGTCAACAGAAGTGGCTTTGGAACAAATGGATAAATTAAACAGTAATAAGTCACAAGGACTAGATGGTATTCACCCAAGAGTTCTGAAGGAACTCCAATATGAAACTGCAAAACTACTAACTGTGGTATGTAACCCATCACTTAAATCAGCCTCTACCAGATGACTGGAAGGTAGCTAAGGTAATGCTGATTTTACAAAAAGGCTCCAAGGTGATCCTGGCAATTAAGGTTGAGGGAAGAGGTTACTATACCCTTGAGGAATCTCTTAGTGATTGGGTGTGACAGCACAGAGTACCCTTCTACAGGTTGGTGGAAAGCTGTTATAGCCTCTAGGCTGACCCTAAGAGAGCTTAGAGATAGACCCGACTTTTTTAGGGTCAAAAAATAATGTGGAAGATTCACAGATGTTGGGGAGATTTATTGGGACATGCACCAAATCTGTAACCTGGAGCATTACTGCAGGTAAGTTACGTCATATTGAGGACTTTCTACTGTGTAATAGAACCTCTTCTACCTCTTGAACAGGAGCTTTCTAGGTGTTGGAACCAAGCAGTAGCCCAGGGATCGGCAACCTTTGGTACGCAGACCGCCAGGGTAAGCACCCTGGCGGGCTGGGCCAGTTTGTTTACCTGCCGCGTCCACAGGTTCGGCCGATCGCGGCTCCCACTGGCCACGGTTTGCCGCTCTAGGCCAATGGGGGCTGTGGGAAGCAGCGCAGGCCAAGGAATGTGCTGGCTGCTGCTTCCCGCAGCCCCCATTGGCCTGGAACGGTGAACCACAGCCAGTGGGAGCCGCAATCGGACGAACCTGCGGACGCGGCAGGTAATTTGTCACTGCCATCAAATGGAATTTAAAGGCAGAGGGAAGTCTTCAAGCAACAGCTCAGGTGAAAATTAGGCCAAAGCATTACAGATAGAAATAGCAAGTGCAAGCTTCAGGAAACTGCTGATTTAATAAGAACATGCATATTTAAATAAAAATGCTAATTTCTCAGTTTGAATTGCATGCTGATGTGTTCATATTTAAAAACCACTAGCAGTTTACCACTCTAGAGAGGGAGGAAAAAAGAGAATTTAATTGCCTACTTTTATCATGTGCCTTCAGAAATTTAAAGATGTTCCTAATTTGGATCAGATTTCCTTTGTAGTCTCAACTGTTTATTTTACTAAGAAAAGTGAACCGAGTATAGTCTGAACATTACTGAAGTGTAAAAATATAGAATCTTAGATGTTTTAATGTAAGGCAGTGGAAAAGGAACATCATGTTAATCTATGCTGTCTTCATTGCACTAACTGTTTTTTAGTGGGGTTTTGTTTGTTTGTTTTTTATATGTAAGACCAATTGGTCATTCCCTATCCCATTCTTACTATGTTCAGTTGCTTGTTAAGTTCCAAGAGCTGGGAACGCAGCACAGCATTCTCTGTGGTCAGGGATGCATAATCATCCATCATTTTGCTTCTTAAGAAACGATCCTGCTCTGCCAGTAGATCTTTCTCTCTCAATTGCTGATGAAGAAAACTTATCTCACTTCTGATCAGAAAAAATGCACAGAGAAAATAATATTTATTGTTAAAATTGTTCCATCTGAAAATGACAAGCCATATTTTTAAAAGATATATATGACATTATTCAGAAAGTTGTATAAAATGTCCTAACATTAAGATCCAATTATAAGGTTTGTATAATAGAATCTTAATGTTAGGACATTTTATACAGCTTTCTGAATTATCTCATTAAAATCAGCCCTTTCCATAAACTTTGTATCCTAAATCTGCCAAAAAGCAACCTAACATTGTTAGTTATATTATACAATCTATCTAGCTCTGTTTATTAAGAATTAATTCTAAAAACAAGGATGAATCACTAGCAAGGCACATCTTGCTTGTAGGAGGGCATACTGTTGTAACAATGGAGAATTAATGTAATGCTTGTGCACACACAGATATTCTCTTTTTCTCTCAAAACAAGGAAATCAAGGAAATTAGCGCTACTCAAGTAAAATATATTACACAATTTAAAAGCCCTCAGGACACTCAAGTAAAAATGATAAAATCAGTTACAATTATTAAAAATTTCATACCTGAACACTAACAAGAATCCCCCCGAGAATGCTACCATGTGACATTTCTAAAGATCTGAAAGTATGTACTACCAGTCTTAAATCATTTTTATGTTATATTTTGAGGTCAGATTTGATCTGACTGATTTTGGCCATCTCAAGCACTGCATAGCAGCAAGAGAATACTGGTCAGTTAAGCTGGGTTTACAGCTGTTTTGCATTGCCAGAGCAGCACAAAATAGCTGAAGTGCACACCCTAGTTTTCCCCTACCACATGTACTCCTCTTTCCCCTGCCCACACACATCCCCCTTAGTTTCCCCCTTCCTCCTACACCTCACATTCCCCTACACACACAGCTCCAGTCTCCCTCTTCCTCCTGTACCTGTTTCCCCTCACACGCAGAAGTTTCCCTCCCTTATGTTTCCCATGTTTCCCTGCTCTCACACACCCCAGTTTCTACATCCTATCCCTCGTATTCCCACAGCTCACACCCTTAGTTTACCACGTCTCTACTGAGCCAATCAGGTGCAGTGATTAATTTTTATAATAATTATTTAGGATTAATGTTCATTTTTTCATTATTTTTCATAGCTGAGAAGGAAAAATAAAATACTATCTTTTAGAGAAACTCAAGAAGAATTCCCCCAGCCTCACCTCTGCTTCTCCTATTCCTGGGGCTCTTCATCCCACTCTCCCAAGCCAGAGGCAGAGGGCTTTCCCTTCCTGGCTGAGTGAGCTGGCAGACCCAGGAATTCTTCAGCCCCTCTGCCCCTTCCCAGGCCAGATGTTAGAGGGAAGGAGGGAAGGTGTGCAGAGAAGAGCTGTCTCTTTGCTCACAGAAACGGAGAGGGGATGGATTGAAGCTGCCCTGAGCTGCTGGGATCTTTTTGTTCCCTCCTCCCTTCCTGTGAGAATCGTGTCTCCTGAGGGGAGAGGGAGAAAGCTCCACTTGCTTCCTGCAGTAGTTCCAATTGGCTGCTCTTCCCCAGAAGGAAACCTCTAATTTTAAATTAAGCAAATTTCGGAAGGGTGCTAAATTGTTAACTACGGGGACTATAACTAACCATTTATCCCTTAAAACACTACAAGTGGAGCTACTGTGCAACCTCTCTTACACTTTATGTTAGTCAATCCTGAACTGGAAGGACTACCTCTGTGGATGAGAGAGTACCTTTTGTTTCAACATGTCCATTTTCTCTGTTGTCTCTCTGCTGAAAAGCCAATAGAGTGTAACATCTTTTGGTAGATGGGGATGAACTGAAAGCAGTACATCATGACTCCCTGCAATGTGTCAGAAAATGGGTGCCAGCTTAAAGTGACCCCATCCGTAGTGAAGACAGAAACCAGTAACCTAGAGTTTAATAGGTTAGTAAATCCCAAATCATCAATACCTGACCATCCCTCGAAAAACTGCCAAATACTTTGGCTAATACCTGATGTCATGTGTGATCTGGTCTTGCAGCATTGCAGTTTTTTTAAATATTTTGTCTTCCATTTCATGCACAGCAAACTGCACTTTCATAAGTTCCTTTCTCTTTTCAGAAAGCTGCAAATCTACTGCCGTCTGCTGCTCTGACCGTTGCTTCAACTTGGTGTCCACATATATAAAAGGAGACAAAGTTAGAGCAGAATGAAGACTGGGGCTCATTTTATGTTTATTTCTAAAATAACTGTAAAACATACATCACTCATTAAGTAGTTCCAATAAATAATCTGGTTTTAGTTTGACTACTGTAAAACTGTCCAGTAGTCTGATTCCTTTATTGTTTTACCAGATTTATATGATGACTCTTGACCAGGTACATAAAGCTCAAGTGGTAGGGGCTTGTGCTTTTGGTGCTGAAAGTTCTAAATTCAGTCCCAGCTGATGAATGTGGTGTCTGCATGTATGTGGTTAGGGTTTATTATATGGATGCTTGAGAAAATTTATTTACAGTGAGAGGATGGAATACATATTTTACATGTCTATTATTTTAACATTTCCTGATCAACAAAAACTTTTTTTTTCTCAATTCAAGTAAGTGTCTCCATCAAATTTCACCACACATACAAATAGTTGATCAATGAACTACTGTTTATTTGAAGTATCCATTTACCAGAATACTGAAAAAACAGATGGGGGGAATGAAGATAAGAAAGGGGTTACTGGCATCCTGCAAACCCTTATACATGCCACCAATTTTATGCACGAGTAATCCTATTGAACTCAAGTGGACTGTTTGTGTGTGTACACATTTGCTGGACTGGGGTTTATATAATAATTGTATAGTATATTTGAAATTGCCTTGGCATTATATATAAACTATTAGCAGTTCTTGAAGAAAAAATTGTGCTGGGTCATTCTTCCTATTTTCTATACAGTCATTTACAATATGCAAGTAGTGAACTTCAGACTAGCTGGAGAAACAAAATTTAGACAAAACATTAGTACCTTTTAAACTCTGCTAATACTATTTTGCATTTTTGTTGCTTTTTTCTTGTTTATTTGACATCACAAAAGTATCCTAAAATATTTAAATTTTTTGTATTGCCTTATATAAATGCACAGATTGAATTCAAGAAATATATTCCTAGCCAAATATTGTCATTTATTATTATTTAGAATGTGGCAGCACCCAGAAGCTTCAACCAAGACTAGTTCCCCATTGTGCTAAGAAATTTACAAACATGTAGGAAGTCAGAGACCCTACCTCAAGGAATTTACACTCTACAGGCTCTATCCTGTGCCAGCTGAAGTCAATGCAAAATTCCCCCTATTTTCAGTGGTGCAGGATTAGGCCTTTAAGGCCCCAGGTGGATGCAAAGGTCATTGCAGGATCAAGGTCTAAAACTCAATCCACTCATTTGAACCATATAGCAGTCACCATTACCTCTACAAGTAATTCATGTTACTGTGATATTCACAGTATCCCTTTGAATACTAAGTACAGGGAATACTATGAACATTGTGGTATAAATCTACTTGGAAAAGCCGCATAAAACACGTTGTACTGGAAATGTTGAGGGGGCAAGGTGTGGTAAGCTGGACTCTCTGCTGATTGTGGGATGACTGCTAATGAAATAAGAAGTATGTGCTGGGTGTGAATTCATTTCTAGGGCAGGGGGGGATGGCTGGATTCACAGGTGATGTGCAAGGTGGTACAAATCAGTTCCCGTGAGGCTCATCTAGACTCCCTTGTTCATAGCCTCTGTACCATTTTCAGAAAAATGTCAGTGGAGTTTGAGGACACTCACTACAATGCAGGATCAGACCCCTAGTCATAGTTAATAGATTCCACACAAAGCTCATTGCATGATTTTTCAGTGTATTATGAAAAGATTTTATTATAATAGCTGTAGATTTAACAATGAGAATCTAAATTGCAAATGGACAATAATAAAAATGTTTTTCTGACCAACTGAATTCCATCTGATATGTTAATAGTAATAAATATATAACTGATTCCTATTAAAAACCGCTCCCTTGACATAACACACAAGAAATCAAATCTCATAAATGATGCTGACTGATGTAATAAAACAATGATACCAGGCAGTGTACCTTTGACTGTATCACAAGGATTTTCTGTTCACAATTACTCAGATTGGTTTGTTGCTGTTCTAATTCCTGTCTGGCACGCAATAGCGCCATTTCCTTTTCAGAGGCCTGTCTGTCTGTCTGTTCCTTCCTTCTTTTCAGTTGTATGATCTCCTCTACTAAAGCCTGCTTCTCTCTAGAATGAAGTTCTAAAGAAAGGAAAGAGTGATTTTAATGGTTTCAAGTTTTTTTCAGCATAGATTGCTTACAAATAAAAATGTCAACCTAACATTGCTCAAATTACAAATATTTGCAGGTTAACTACATATTATTTTACCCAGTGTGGGTCAATTATTTCTTTAATCAAGTTAACACATAACTGCTACATGTATCCAGATTGGTGCTAACTGAAATGATGCAGGATTACTGCATTTATTACTCTCCTCTAAATGAGGAATTGGAAATGAGGAGTAACAAAAAGGTATTTTTAAAAAATCTCACAAATAAAATAGCTTTATATGTTCAGCAACATACTCTCTATTATATTTCCACTTTCCCAGGCTCCTCATAATTGTCTCTTTTGCAGTCTGCCTTCACCCTCAGTCATCCACTTTCAAACACTATTCCTGTGACCAACAGGGAAAAGCTTAGCATTGCCAACAATACAGATTACGTCATGTTCCCACTTTACAAGATGAAGATACTGTATATTTTTGAGGCAGCCCCGGCCAAAAAAAAAAAAAAAAAAAAACACGGGGTGGCCAGCGCAGCAAAGCAAAAAAAAACCAAAAAAAACCCCCAGTGATCTGTGCGCCGGAGCGTGGGTGCAGGGGGACCGGCTAGTGGGGGGGAGGGAGAGGGAGCGGGCAGGAGAGAGAGAGAAGGGGGGCAGCCAGGGCTACAGCGGGGCGCTGCCACGCGGCCCCTCCCGCCGCGCCACCTGCCACCTGCCGGGAGGGCTCCGCTCTGGTCGGCGGGGAGGGAAGGACGAGGACTGCCCTGCCGGGCTTGCTGCAGGGTGCTCCTGTCCTCCACGCCGCTGCCCCCTACAGGGCGGCCGGAGTGGAACAAAAAATAAAAGGCGTCCGTGCCGCCCTAGGATTGGAGTGCCACCTCGTTCAATCTGCTGCCCCAAGCACCAGCTTGCTCGGCTGGTGCCTGGAGCCGGCCCTGTTTTGAAGTGTCACATGAGAGGGAGAAGCAGTGAAAAATACCCAGTCTTTTTCATTTGTTAGCAGCATCTGTCTTCAAGTCTGAGTTACTATAATGAATTACTTTTGTGATGTTCCTTTCTAAATAAACTAAACAATAAAGATTTTAGACTGATATATACATATATTGAATTCTTTCATCAGGCCAGACAGATCAAAGATCCATCAGAGTTTGATAGAAAAGACATTAAGAGGCAAGAATGTAAAATTTGTGGGTTTTCCAATAAAGCCACAATGTCAATATTGGATATGATTTTTGTTAAAATGGCTGCAAGAAGGTCTCAGGGCACAGAAATCTCCCTCTTTGCTGTGCAAAAAAAATCACAAACAAAAGGCAAATTATATTATTCTGACTTCCATTAAATCTGTTTGTGAACAACAACAAAAAATTGTTACAAGCTACAGAGAGACCAAATGAGATCTGACATGAAGATTAGCATAGAGAACTTGGGGAGGAAAGGAGAGATACGAGAGGACTGGACAAGGGCAAATATAGTACCTATCTATAAAAAGGGGAATAAGGACAACCCAGGGCATTATAGATAAGTAATCTTAACTTTGGTACCCAGAAAGATAATGGAGCAAATAATCAATTTGTAAGCACCTAGAAGATAATAAGTAACAGTCAACATGGATTTGTCAAGAACAAATCATGTCAAACCAATCTAATATCCTTCTTTGAAAGGGTAACAAGCCTTGTGCATGGGGGGAGAGGGAGGCAGTACATGTGCTGTATCTTGACTTTAGTAAGATACTTTAGTAAGATACTGTCTCACGTGACCTCTTATTAGCTAACTAGGGAAATATAGCATAGACAAACCTAGTATAAGGTGGGTCTACAACTGGTTGCAAAAATGCACTCAGAGAATAGTTATCAATGGTTCATAGTCAAAGTGGAAGGGCGTATTGAGTGCAGTCCCACTGGGATCTGTCCTGGGTCCAGTTCTATTCAATATCTTCATAAATAATTTGGATAATGGCATAGAGTGTACACTTATAACGTCTGCTGACTATACCAAGCTGAGAGGGGTTGCAAGTGCTTTGGAAGGGATTAGAATTCAAAACAATCTTAAACTGGAGAAATGGTCTGAAATAAACAGGATGAATTTCAATAAGGACAAATGCAAAGTACTAGTCATAGGAAGAAATAATCAAACAAATATAAAATGGGAAATGATTGCCTAGGAAGTAGTACTGCAGAAAAGGATCTGTGGGTTATAGTGGATCACAAACTAAACATGAGTCAACAAAAAAACAAACAAAAAAAAAAAGCAAACATCATTCTAGGATGTATTAGCAAGAGTGTTGTAAGCAAGACCCAAGAAGTAATTCTTCTATTTTACTCAGCACCGGCAAGGCCTCAACTGGAGTACTGTATCCAGTTCAGGGCACCACATTTTGGGAAAGATGTGGACAAATTCGGGAAAGTCCAAAGGAGAGCAACAAAAATGATTAAAGGTCTAGAAAATATGACTTATGAGGAAAGATTGAAAAAATTGGGTTTGTTTAGTCTGGAGAAGAGAAGGCTGGGGGAGGGGACATAACAGTCTTCAAGTACGTAAAAGGTAGATATAAAGAGAAGGGTGATAAATTGTTCTCCAGTCCTTATCAAATGAGGACAGGACAAGATGTAATGGCCTTAAATTGTAGCAAAGGAAATTTAGGTTAGACATTAGGAAAAACTTCCTAACTGTACAGGTAGTTGAGCACTGGAACATGTTACCTATGAAAGTTGTGAAATCTCTGTCATTGGCGGTTTTTAAGAAAAGATTAGACAAACAGCTCTCAGTGATGGTCTAGTTAATACTTAGTTCTGCCTCAGTGCAGGGGACTGGACTAGATGACCTGTAGAGGACCCTTCCAGTCCTATATATGATTCTTTTATCTGTTTTCTTGTTCAAAGAGAAGAGGGGAACTTGGGGGATATTAAATGCATGTAACAACATGTATAAGAATTACAAACTAATAATGACCAGGGGCACTTGGGAATTGGTTATAAGTTTAATAAAATAAAACAATAGGAAAAATGTATAATGTTTCCCTTTCTCCCACCTTTCAATATATTTATTTTGTCTTTTTAGAACATAAGCTCTTTGAGGCAGGGACAATGCATCTTAAGTGTGTCTATAGTGCCTACCACATTCAGGGCACTATTGCAATTCAAACACATTATGAATAATTTGAAAAATCTGGCTCAATTACAGCATGTAGCTAAGGTCTTCAGAATCTAACTGGGACCAGAGAACAGGTGGGCGTAGGGTCACAGGATCCTCAAGTGATAAGGCCACAGGTTCTGCTTCATTCTCAAGGCTGCAACAGCTAGAACAGCCCATGGCCTACGGAGAGATAGAATATCATCCACAGGTTGAAAACTCGATTGAAGCTGCAGGATGGGGGGCCAACTCTGTGAAAAAAAAGGTGGTGGGGGTGCCTACTGGAGGAACACAGGTGTAGACACTCCTGCCTCATGAGCTCTGTGCTTCCCATTAACAGCCAGAGGGAGATGGGAGCTGATCAGCTTCCTCCTCTCCCTTCTCATTAATTTAAACCCTGGCCAACCATTTTACCATTTTTGGAAACTCTTATTCCAATTTTAGCTTCTCCACCCTGCTCTCTGTTAGGATACTGTGTTTTTTACTGATCATCTGTTTTGGGGTTTCCATTTGAGCCAAACTGTCAAACACATGGTGAATTTTTCACTTTCCTCACAGCATCAAGAACAGCACAGTTAGATTAAATAGAAATAGGACTTAGAATTTAATATCAGTACTTTATGTGATTGCTTAACTTGTTTGAACTTGTACAGTGTGTCCAGTGCAGATAAAAGGCCAAAATGGCCAGCTACCAGAAGTAAAACAGATCTGGAATTTGGCTAGTGGACCTTAAGAAAAGGCAAAAACAACGAGGAGTCCTTGCGGCACCTTAGAGAGTAACAAATGTATTTGGGCATAACCTTCGTGGGCTAGAACCCATTTCATCAGATGCATGGAGTGGAAAATACAGTAACAGGTATAAATACAGGAAAAGATGGGAGTTGCCTTACCAAGTGTGAGGTCAGTCTAACGAGACAATTCAATTAACAGTAAGATACCAAGGGAGGAAAAATAACTTTTGTAGTGGTAATGAGAGTGGCCCATTTCAAACAGTTGACAAGAAGGTGTGAATAACAGTAGGGGGAAATTAGTATGGGGGAAATTAGGTTTAGGTATCCCCTTAAGAAAAGGGGATACCTAAAGTCTTCACAAATCAAGGTGCCTCTTTTAGTACCCTCTGTCTTCCTTCTGAGGGGTGTGTATGAGATGATTCAGCAGAGTGAACTGAGTCTTAGGGGTAGAGAATTATGAGGAGAATTATGGGGCCACTTCCCGCAGCTCCCATTGGCTGGGAACGGCAAACCGTGGCCACTGGGAGCTGAGGGGCTCTGTGCCTGTGAACGCTCCAGGTAAACAAAACATCCCAACCCGCCAGCGGCTTACCCTGACGGGCCGGGAGCCAAAGTTTTCCAACCCCGAAATATAGGGTCAGCTTATGAAAGGGTCATACAGTTTTTGCCATTTTTACCTAACCATCTTGGGGGGTCGGGTTATAAATGAACAGGCTAATGAAAGAGTATATACGGTACATTTTACAACAGGCAATTTTTCTGTTTGATTTAATAAGAAAGCCCAGAAAATACAGCTGAACAAAACAAAACAAAAAGCCCTCCATGCATCTATAGTTATGTTGCATATTACTACCGGTATGAGTAGGGCCCTACCAAATTCATGGCCCATTTTGGTTAATTTCATGGTCATAGTATTAAAAAAATAGTAAATTTCATGATTTCAGCTATTTAAATCTGAAATTCCACAGTGTTGTAACTGTAGGGGTTCTGATCCAAAAAGGAGTTGGGGGGGGGTCACAAGGTTATTGTAGGGGTGGTTGTGTTACTGCTACCCTTACTTCTGCGCTGCTGCTGGCGGTGGCCCTGCCTTCAGAGCTGGGCAGTTGGAGAGTGG